AGGAGCAGAACTTTCCTCGGGAGTCGGCTTCTGACAGCCTGTTTCTAGTCAGCGTCGCAAATGTTGACAACCTTCGGCCAAGCAGATATTTGCGTACAGCAATGCCTTTGCTAGAGCTGGGACAGATATGTAACGCTCACCGGCAAGTCACCATGTTTCGTTCAAATTGCTCAGCGTTCCATGCCATTTTCACGCTGTTTTTTGCCCCTCTCCGTCGCGGCGAAATGGTCCGTTGCGGGCTACAGGAACATACTGGTGCACTTGCAGTGCCATAGAGTCCTGGTCACGACATAGTTGTAGTATTCCGTGCTTCTTTCCGGTTCTCTTGTGCGTGTTAGTCGCCATGCTCCACTGAGCGTTGGTCGTTGTGCCAGTTTGGCCAGAGGAGTCATGTAAGTGATTCTCCTGGCTCTCTTGCCGTGCACTAGTCCGAAAGGGTTGCCAGTTCCGCCAGCCGACCTTTCTCGTTGCACTGCTCAGCCGTGCGCTGGTCCAAGATTGGTGCCAGTTACGCCGGCCGATTTTTAGTTGCACTGCTCAGCTGTGCACTGGTCCAAGATTGGTGCCAGTTACGCCGGCCGATTTTTTGTTGCACTGCTCAGCCGTGCGCTGGTCCAAGATTGGTGCCAGTTTCGCCGGTCGATTTTTCATTGCACTGCTCAGCCGTACGCTGGTCCAAGAAAGGTGCCAGTCTCGCCGCTACACTGCTCAGCCGTGCGCTGGTCCAAGATTGGTGCCAGTTACGCCGGCCGATTTTTCGTTGCACTGCTCAGCCGTGCGCTGGTCCAAGATTGGTGCCAGTTTCGCCGGCCGATTTTTCATTGCACTGCTCAGCCGTACGCTGGTCCAAGAAAGGTGCCAGTCTCGCCGCTACACTGCTCAGCCGTGCGCTGGTCCAGGATTGGTGCCAGTTACGCCGGCCGATTTTTCGTTGCACTGCTCAGCCGTGTGCTGGTCCAAGATTGGTGCCAGTTTCGCCGGCCGATTTTTCATTGCACTGCTCAGCCGTACGCTGGTCCAAGAAAGGTGCCAGTCTCGCCGCTACACTGCTCAGCCGTGCGCTGGTCCAAGATTGGTGCCAGTTACGCCGGCCGATTTTTCGTTGTAATGCTCAGCCGTGCGCTGGTCCAAGATTGGTGCCAGTTACGCCGCTACACCGCTCATGCAGCTGCGCGCTGGTCCAAGTTTGGTGCCAGTTACGCCAGCCGAAATTCGCGACACGAATGTTCTGTAGTCCCTGTTCTGCTGATCTCCCCCGTGCTATAGCAGCGCATTACTCTCAACGTAATGTAACTCGCTGGGGCTTCCGTGTATGCAGCAGATGTAGTTTTGCTAATTTGCAAGCACGCTGCGTGTGTTGCGGACCATGTGCTGGTGTTGAAGCGAGCTGCGTCTCACGCGCTCCTCAGTTACCGTTTGCGGCTATTGTATGTTGTGTGCCGGACATGCGCCGGGTGAATGCATTTGTTTTACTTTTATGCAAATTTTTATCTGTACTTAATTTTGCTAAGCTTACCTGCCTACGCATCGTTCTCGGGTTCGTGGGGGTAATGGGCTTTTCCTCACCCAAAGGCATTGTTGGAGTGCACAATACATAGACCCATAATCACAACAACGCCTTTGCGAGCTCGAACGAAGCGTAGAAATGTAACATTATAAGTCAACTGATAATGTTTTTTCTCCGCGGTGAGAGCGAGCGCCGCCCATGTGATTGCGTCATACCGCCCGCTCGTCAGGTCCGCATGACCCGAGCCCGGGTCATTCGCGCGCGCAGCGCCGCCGAGAGCAGTCAGCCACTGAGCCGTGGGCTGAGCGCGGCGCTTCCTGCTTTTCGCCATCCACCTCCCCTCCGCCACCGACGCGACTGTATTTTATCATTCGTGTAATTGTGCAGCTTCGCGTACATGCTTGATGCGTTGTGCAATGTACATACCCTCGTCTTCGGCTATGTATTGTGGGCTTTTCCTCACCCAAAGGCATTGTTGGAGTGCACAATACATAGACCCATAATCACAACAACGCCTTTGCGAGCTCGAACGAAGCGTAGAAATACCAGTAGTGACATAAACTCTAAGATGTCCAGAGCTAATTAGTACCTTAATATTTCACTTTCCGTTAATATTTGGAAAACACATAATGGTTTCATCAACTCGTTGTAAAGCGCTGGGGAGGTGGCCGGCGTTACCCCTATGCCGGGCTTACCCCAGAAAAATCAACACTTTTTTGAAACTCGATTTTCTCAACCTTATACTTATTCCACGAAACCGAATTTTTGGGAAAACACGGCCAATGAACTTAGCTAGCTAGCAGGATGTCAACATTTTATACAGCACGTATGGTATGTAATAAAAATCAAAAAGAGCTTACTATGCCGGGCTTCCCCCGGCTTCCCCTAACAGCGCTGCTGGGGGATTTGGTAGGCACGTGGCAACGTGGATGTGACAGAGTGGCTGCTGTTGCAAAATGGCTGCTCCGTACTTGATAAGCTGCTTCAACTTAACCCTCGCCGGACCTATTGGTTTTCTACATACGCGCCGGCCGAGGGGGGGGGCGGGTACGACCCCCCCCCCTCGCCGTTTCGCCCCTGGTGGAGCTAGCGCGTCGCGGAAAAAACGAGCGTGTGCGCCGTTACGAGACGCAGAGATTGATATCCAATTTTAAGGTCCTAGGTCAACCGGTGACCTCTGAGGTCAGGTCAAGTGCCCCAGGGTACGGTTCAGTTTTTGGTGAATAACTTCGCAAAAACGGCCGCAGAGCCGTGATTTTGGCAGCATCGTGTTCGCCTCGCTCAGGCGCGTCGAATGATATACTTTTTGTTCGGGTCAGGTCAACTTGGGGTGTTGACCTCAGGTCAAGGTCAGGTCAGCACCCCCAGGTCACGAAGTTGGTCGGAAGAGGTCATGTCGCATATCATTCGATTCGGCAGGTCTTCCTGAGTCCATTGGTGGCTTTCTCGACTCGCTAGCTGAATTTGATCAAGAGTTATTGACGGAAAACTAATATGACCTTGATGACGTCATAAATGACGTCACGCAAGGTCAACATTGCAAAAGTGACGCATCTAACCTTGCAAGGAGTGCATCAAATCACGATTCTGTGTGCTTGAGATAGTTGGATATCGTTCCCGGCGCCAGAATAGCAGTTTTCATTTTTCCCCATTGACTTATAATGGTGAGGTCACGAAAATGACCTGACCTCATATGACCTTTAGGAAAAATCCGAGATATACAAGTTGTGAGACTCATAATGGATACTAGATCCTGCAAGGTTCATTTCCCTGTGACATCTCCTCTGGCAGTGAGGGCGTTGCGAAGTTGCGACATCTGAAGACCGTGCATAGGTTCACTTATGACGTCATAGGTCAGTGACCTGACCTGACCCAAAAATGCGGTTGGTGTCAAAAGATGCGGCTTGGATCAAAGGTCAGGTATGCTAAGTTTCAGCTCTCTATCGCCAGCGTGTTCGGAGCTATCGCGAAAAAAACCCTATGGCACCCGCCCCCCCTCGGCCGGCGAGGGTTAATGGACAACAAACGTTATTGATATTGAAATGTATCGTCATGCGCTCATCTCGGCCACTTTTTGGACACATTTCACATTTCATCGGACACATCACATCGGACACATTTGACCCCCCACCAAAAAATAAAATAAAAATAAAATGCAGTTCAAACTTTTGCCATGAATGTCCTTGCATTGTCTACCTATAGTTGGAAGATGACAAAATGAGCATTTATCCTCGTTTAAACCTTTTTACCATCAAAAACACTTTCCGTACATGAGTCAATTATCCTGTCTCATATCGGGACAAATAAGTCGCCGGTGTCCGTTTCTCCCCGGGGTTTGGGGCCAAGCGGCAAAAATGCAAAACATTGAATGCTTTACAAATATCCTATATGTGAAGGCCTTTAGAAATAAAACAAAGTTGAAATAAGATGCAATTTAATAGGGATCACATTGGAGTAAAATAATCGTTCCAGGTTTAAAAAAGTTTTAAAATCAAGTGTCGGCATCATAAAAGTGTAAAGGTGGCCGCTTTGCCCCGGTCTCCCCTACAATGCGATGTAAAACCCGCACGGCATCTCATAGTTTCCTCATTTTAGCGTCTCTTCCAAGTGTCATGTCAAACATATGTACGATAAACTGCGGATTTGGTATATAGGAATGTCGACTTGGACACCACCAAAATTATGCAGTTTCATTGACGTTAAATAAAAGAAGAACTTTTAAAAGAGTTAGCGGCATTTATTTGTAAAGAGCTGAAGAGTGAAGCATTCGCGCTTTGTCTTTCTTTTAACAACATTTCTAGCACAAAATATTGCCCGCCCCAAGCGACTGTTGTAACATTGTTGCCAGCTGCTATATACAAAGAAAATATTTTTTTTTTTTTGCAAGACTTCTGCGTACCTGGATGAAAACGAAAGAAGCTCAACGGCAAGTGGCAACTGCAATCAAGACAGCATATCGAAGCCATTTAGTAATGGTCCATAAAAAGGCAAATATTGAAATGATTCTGCAGAAACAGATCAAACTATGTATTCGCAAGAAAAAGGACATATGAAAAAATGCAGATGAATTCATACGATAATCCCCTTCCCTTTCCCTGCACAAGTGAACCGTACCGTGTTCCACATCTAACTGTTCAGCTCCGCCCTCCGTCCAACCCAAGGTTACGGTCGCTGGCTGGTATAAAGGCAGGCCGGTTCGCCGTTCACAGCATCAGTCGCCAAAGACCCAATCTGCAAACATGAAGGTCAGTTTCCTCGACGGAGTACACCCTATAGCATTTCTGCTGCGTGTTTTGAATCTTGTGGGATGAAAGCACTGCAAAGGAACTTTCGGATATGGGACTAATAGGTATATATTCATTATTCATCTTATTATCCGCTTTTGAGCGTTTAAGCACAGGGCTCGTTTTATATAGGAAATATGAAGATGAGCTCAATGTGAAACATAACTAAAATTTGCCAATTTCTAACGGTCATCTCTGTCTCCTTTCAGTTCTTCGTCGTTGCTGCCCTGGTGGCCGTGGCTGCCGCCGCCCCCTCCACTCCCTACAGCCCCCGGCCGGCCTACCACCCGGCCCCGTCCTACGCACCGGCCCCGGCCTACCACCAGCCGTCCTACAAGGAGCCCGCTCAGCCGTACCAGTTCGACTACGCCGTCAACGACCACTACTCGGGCGCCGTCTTCTCGCAGAACGAGAACAGCGACGCTAGCAACGTCAACGGCTACTACTCGGTCAACCTGCCCGACGGCCGTGTGCAGACGGTCAAGTACGTGGCTGACCAGCAGGGCTACGGAGGCTACAACGCCGAGGTGACCTACGAGGGCGAGCCCCGCTACGAAGAGTACAAGCCCAGCTACAAGCCCGCTCCCTACAAGCCCGCCCCGGCCTACAAGCCCGCCTACCAGCCCGCCTACAAGCCCGCTTACAACTAAGTGCTTTCATACACAATATTTCATATTTATGTAAAGTGTTTTGGTGTGTTTGACTTGCGAGGCATGTCGTTTCCCTTTCAATGCGCACTTATGTGACCAATTGGAGGAATATACATGTTTCAAACTCATTTATGGGTTATTGCACACGGTGTTGGACGGCGTGTAACGAAGGACTGAGGTTGAGATGTGCACACAAAAAAAAAAATTGAGAGAGCAATGAGCAGATAAAAAAGGTAGACACGCGTATTGGCGGCTCTACAGCGCAAGTAGAGCTGGATGAGGAGGCGATTCAAAACAGAAAAGAATAAAATGAAGACATTTCCCACTCCCATTTCCACGGGAATTATTAGGTAGAGGATGGGTCGACAAGGAGGATGGATCGATGGGTTGGTTATACTCGAAAAGGAACGTAGGGGAAGAGAGGTTAACGTCAAATAAGATATTTTAGCTTCTATATCGCAAAAGGAAGCAATCCAAGGGGTGCTCAGGGTATCCTAGAGACCTCTCGGAGCATATTTCTCCAATTTTTTTCTTTTGAAATATCAACTCGAGATCCCAAGGATTCTAGGAGACCAACATAGGACCCGTGTAGACCAACAAAGGGTCTCTTAGGCCAACAGAGGGCCCTGATGGTTTGGAGGACAACGGAGCCTTCATGGGACCCTCGATTGGACTCAGGCCTCAGAGGTCACTCTGTTGGCTTCAGGACACTTTGAAAGACTCAGGTCTTCGGTAGTTCTCTGCTCACATAAGAGAGCCCTCGCATGGCCTCAGATCAAGTCGTCTGTTGGTCTCAGTGCCCTCTTTTCGCCTCATGGTTTTGAGGGATCTGCCTCTGCTGGCCTCAAAGCTTCAGGGCCTTTTGCTGACATCAGGGCCTTCTGCTGGCCTCAGGGCTTTCTACAGGCCTCAGGGCCTTCTGCTGGCCTCATGCCCTCTGTTGACCTCAGGGTCCTTTGTTAGCCCTAGAGGTTCGAGACCCTCTTGACTTCACAGCGCCCTTGTATTCCCCGGAGGAACCTCTGTTTTCTTAGATGACCCTTTGATGCCAACAGAGAGCACTCAGAGGCTCCCAGACAACATAAGGCTCTTTAGAGGCCAACAGATAATCTTCTTAAGACAAGAACAGATAATCCTCAAGGGCCCTGAAGGCCACCAGAGGGCCCGAGACGACCAAATAAATTTCTGAGGCCAAGAGAGGTCCTTTGTTCAACAGTGGGCCCATTAAGGTCACCAACGGAGGGTCTTTTGATGTCAACAGAGGGACCTCAGAGCCCTGAGGTCAACTGACGAGGCCCTGGCCACTGAGGCCAATAGAGTGTCTTCTGAGCTAATTAGAGGGCCACCTTAGATTTACGGAGGGCCTTCAGAAATCTAAGAACCTTAAGTGGTTCTGAGGCCAATGGAGGCCCCTCTGAGCAAGTAGTGTTAATTGGCTACCAACGTTTTGGCGTACTGATATCAAACCAATAGCAACTCAGTACCTACCTATTTGGTAGGCATTTCAAATATGACCTTTTATATTTTGTTGGTTTTCATTCCGCCTCGATAGTCTATACAGTGATAATTGTATAAGATGCTCTAAATTTGGTAAAGAAGTCGGTAGTACTCCAAAGTTTCAGCTGTTTTTTTTTTTTTGGTATTCCCCATGGTTTCGGTCAGTATTTGGCTTGGTATCGGTTTCCGACTTTTCTGCAATTGACGTGACTACTCTGAATCCTAAGGCTATCGGAGAGCTTTAACCCTCGCCGGCACAGGGGGGTGGGGGTGGGGGTGATGCAACCCCCTAAGATTTTTTTTTTCGCAAATAACTCGCGTAAAAAGCGGCCGATTGCGACGAAACTTCCAGTACCCTCGCGTTGATCAATTTTACACAGCCTGACATTTCATGACCCTGACCCAAGTGACCTTTCAAAGAACCCTGTGATGCCAATAAAAGGCCCTCAGAGGCCAAAAAAGAGCACTCTAAGAAAGACAAATGGTTATCTAAGGTCAATAGGGGGCCTTCTGAGCACACCCGATGGCGCTCTAAAACCAATAACTAGAGATATTTACCTCCGAGACTTACGTAGACTGACGTGTGCAACATGTGAACTCATAGAGCTGAAATCATAAGGCTGTCGAAGCGGCAGTGCTGGTACATCGCTTTTTTTTTGGGGGGGGGGATATTTACGAAATAGCCTAAAGAAGGCGCCAAGCCACTTCCCAAACTCCAGCTTTCCTGCAATGGAGCACGTTAGCTGCATCGCCCTTTGGCACTTCGGGTGAACTGTGTCTTGTTGCTCAGTGAACATTTTTCTCTCCGCTCACTGCGACGACGAGGACAACGCGCATCGCATGCTCCGCCTGTTCACAGTTATATGCTGCCTTTTGTAAATTGTAACTGATTTGGCGTGCAGATACTCTGCATGAATTGGAATGAACTATTGTTGAATACATAACTTACAGGATTCATTGCATTATCCAATATGTATTCATTACCTTCTTGAAGTGCTTGAAAATAATAAAGCAACTGGCATAATTAAACGCATTTTACTGTATCTTTAAACTGATGTTTTGTGGGACTCCTAAGCTGTTTCAATTCAAGGAACCTTTTCAATGGAAGCCATCAAAGTGCCCGTTCGACTGCCCCGCTTTGGAAACGCATAGATATGCCGCCGGTAGCAAGACATAAACATAAAAATAACACCCAAAATGTTTTTTTTCATTTATGTAAGCATTTCATCACTAAGGAATCATTAGGTATAGCGTGATGAAATTTTTAGATTAAAGATGCGTAATTGATTAACTTGAGGGTACTGAAAGTTTTGTCGCGATCGGCAGCTTTTTCCTCGATATTTTGAAAACAAAACATTGAAAGGATCCCTTCAACACCCCTTGTAAGTGCAAGGGCTAAACTACTAACCACTTCCTATGATGTGTCACTTCCCTACCGCAATGTCGGCTATGCGGTGTGTCCAAATTTACCTGCTCGGCCCCGCCCTCCCTCCGACCCAAGGTTACGGTCGCTGGCTGGTATAAAGGCAGGCCGGTCCGCCGTTCACTGTATCAGTCGCCAAAGACCCAATCTGCAAACATGAAGGTCAGTTTCCTCGACAGGGTATACCCTCCACCGTTTCTGCTGGATGGTTTGAGTGTTTGAATGAAAATGCTGCAGTAATGAAGCACTGCAATTCAATGTTCATCTTATCATCCACTTTCGAATGCTTACACACCGCGCCCGTTTTATATGAGAAAATGCCAAGCTCAGCTCCAAGTAAACATACCGTAAACTGTCAATTTCTAACCGCCATCTCTGTCTCCTTTCAGTTCTTCGTCGTTGCTGCCCTGGTGGCCGTGGCTGCCGCCGCCCCCTCCACCCCCTACAGCCCCCGGCCGGCCTACCACCCGGCCCCGGCCTACCACCAGCCTTCCTACAAGGAGCCCGCTCAGCCGTACCAGTTCGACTACGCCGTCAACGACCACTACTCGGGCGCCGTCTTCTCGCAGAACGAGAACAGCGACGCCAAGAACGTCAACGGCTACTACTCGGTCAACCTGCCCGACGGCCGTGTGCAGACGGTCAAGTACGTGGCTGACCAGCAGGGCTACGGAGGCTACAACGCCGAGGTGACCTACGAGGGCGAGGCCCGCTACGACGAGTACAAGCCCAGCTACAAGCCAAGCTACAAGCCCGCTTCGTACGCCGCTCCTTCCTACCAGCCCGCCTATAAGCCTGCCTACAAGCCCGCCTACCAGCCGGCCTACAAGCCCGCCTACAACTAAAGTTCTTTGAACTGAGCTTTTCTTTCTATTTATGTATATCAATTCATAAGTGGCTTTACGTGAGATTGGTCCGTTGGTTGTGACTGTTTTTGCGTACAAAATATATATTTCATTGACATTTATATCTTTTTAGTGTTTATATTCAATGGAATAACCTTCTGTTTAAAATTCTAAAAATTGCCAAAAGTTACAAAAACACTTAATATATTTCGGAGGCGTTCCTTCATCGGTTCAAGTGATAAAGATTTATCAGTATTTTAGCGTTTGTCTTTTTAGTGTTTGTCTAGGGCAGCAGCCAGCATGGTATATATGATCCCGAACCCGAACGAAAGACAGCACGCTTAGGTAAGTAGGTATGCTTTCGCCTGGCTGTCAGCTGTCAGGCACTCTTTGTGTTTCTTGAAACCTCACCGGACCTATTGGTTTTCTACAAAAGTCCCGGCCGAGAATTGTACTTACGACCCTTCCTCACCGTTTTACCCCTAATTGAGCTAGAACCTCGCACAAAAACGAACGTGTGCACGGTTACGAGACACAGCAGCTGGGAATCGATTTTATGTTCTCAGGTCAACGGGTGGCCTCTGAGGTCAGGTCAAGTGGCCCAAGGCACGGGTTTGCTTTTTGGTAGGTAAATAGCTTCCTTTAACCCGCGCCCCACTGGGGGGGGGCTATTTATAGCCCCCCTCCCGTTTTTCTGCAATAACTTCCAAACCGCTTGACGGATCGACGCCAAACTTTCAGTACCTTCGGCTGCATCAATTTGACACCTTGTGTCAAAATTTGAATTTCGTAGCTACTATAGGTCGGCCGGAAATGACGTCAGAGTGACGTCATGTTCGTCCGATTTCGACGCAAAACATTGAACCACGGCAATCGCTCCCAAGAGCTCAGTTTTTAAGCTAGATCCAATTTCTTTGCATGAAAGAACTCAGAATTGACCGCGCTATCAAACTGCTATCTCGGATTTTCAAAATTTTGAAAATTTCGAAAATTTTATATAATAATATTCAAAATTTATATTTTTATATTTTTTTTCAAAAAGTTTTTGACTTTTCGAAAAAACCGGAATATATGTGATAGAACGCATGATTATGACTAACTCTAGCGAGTTTTAGCTAAATATCTTCAAAAATGGCCAAGTTATACGCATTATTGCAAAAAATTCACAATTATTAATTTTTCAAATCAATTTTTCAGTACGTATTTGGCATCATACACCAATATAAATGGCACCATCGTGTTCCTGAGCTCAAACTGCATCCAATAGACACCTTTTTTGTTGAAAAATTTCAACTTCAAAATTTGACCTTTTTTGACCTGAAAGTGACCTGACCTAAGCTAAATTCGACTCAAAATGACCTCG